ACCAAGTAGTATTTCCAAGCAATCTTGTCAATCGCCACGGGGTTCACGAATTGGTTAAAAGTGATAGACACGGCTTGCGATACCCAAAATACGCTTGTGCCTTTCGTGCGGAGATGACTAGGCCAGATCTCGTTGACGTAGAGGATTGGTATGGGTGTCAGGCCAATGACGTAGCCACCGAAGAAGAGGAAGAGGAATACAATGACGGCGTAGCCTGCAGATGCGGAGCCGGTGGTCGAGTAGAGGGCCGAGCAGATGGTTATCAGGACCATGAAGACCAACATTAGACTCGTGGATGTGAGGAAGAGGCGGCGTCGACCGGCCTTTTCGCATAACAGTGCGGCTGCACAGGCTAAGAGCCAGACGTAGACTTGAAGCCCGCCGTTGATGCCTTGTTGATGGAGGGAGTTCGTGATTCCGACCGTTCGGAGTACCGGCGCCAAGTAGAAGCTGATGATCCCGTTTCCGACCCATTGAGTAGCCACGGCGATGACTACAGATAGAACGAGGCGTTTGCGGTTGCCTGGTGTGGCAAGCAAGGCCAGCCAGCCAGTAGTGTTGTTCTGAGCCTCAGCCGCCGTCGATGCGCACATGCGCGCGAACTCGGAAGATACTAGCTCATCACCAGCGAGCCCATTGGCATGGTATCGTATCATGATAGACTTGGCCTTCTCTTGTTGTCCGTGTCGTACAAGCCACCTAGGCGACTCGGGACAGAACATGATCAAGCTCAGCTGCGCCAGGGACCAAAACAGCTGGATGGCTACCGGTAGTTTCCATGACCACGAACCCGGTATTCTCAAAGCTCCGTAAGAGGCCCAAGCCGCGGTGATGGAGCCGATGAAGTAGCATGTGTTGAAGAGCGCACCTGCAACGGCCCTCTGGCGTGGATGTGCAAGCTCGACGAGTAGAGCGGAGGAGGAAATCGTGTTTGAAATACTAGAAAAGCCGACGAGTATACGCATGCCGAGAAATTGATCGAATCTCGTACAGAAGATCTGCCCTGTAAAGCCGGCTATCATCCCGATGTTTCCAAAGATGATTCCTACGCGGCGACCGTACTTGTCTGACAGCCATGGTGCTGGAAAGAAAGCGGCGATGCATCCCATGGACTGGGCAGCGGTGACTAGTCCGAGCAGCTTCGGATGGGAAAGCCCTTGTATGTCTTGGAAGTATCTGGGGTTGGCAATGAGGTTGGAGATGAGGGAGCTGATGTAGCCATTCGTTATGGCGCCTATGTAGCTTGAAAGGAGCAAGAAGTTGAGTTTCTTCATGCCCGGATCTTTCCACCATTTCGGATGCGTGTTGTTGGCCAAGGTATCCATCTTGAGGTACGCAGTCGCGATGTTCGTCTCAGTTGGAGTTGACTGCCAGTCGTACTGTTACAAGCATATATAGTTCCACACGGACAGAGTTCGGCACCTAGAAGGATATCTTAACCGGCGGATGTAAGACTTCTTTGACGTTTTCGTATCTGAGTGTCGGTGAAGCCTTAGGAATGATGATCGTCATGTTCCCGGTGCCGCGGTGTAACGTCGTAAGGTCAGGTGCTCACGATCCTAGAATTTACCATGACTCGTAGCGTCATGTACAACCAGCCATTCCCATGTGGCAGGAATCCCTTACCGCGGCGCGGTGATACTCTCCTGGAGGTTGGAGATATCGCCACTTCCGCCATGACTTCCTATTCGTCAAAACCCGCTAGGCAGGACCATCGGGCCAATCAGGACGATCCCGAGCCCCCACTCGGGGAATCGGGATACCACAGTACGAACTTAGGAGCCTTCCAAAAGTGAGCTAGAATGCGTGGATTTCATGTCAGTACACCGACTGTCTGGCACACGTTAACATGCTTTCACTCACCCTGGACCCCGACCAACCAGCGTTGGGCTGAGGGGGATGTCTTTGCGGCAACGAGTCCCATTCGTCGCTGTTGCGTTCTTTCGTAGCTTCGGAGGATTAATGAAGTAAGCGTCCAGGAACCGTCTTTGAGTCCGCTTAGACTTGATGCGGTCAAGCAAAAGGTAATGATGCCTACAGCTCTTCCAGTGGCCGCGTAGACAAAAACCGAGAGAAGAGCTGTATCCGCCCAAGTGTGTCGCCAATAGAGTCACCCACTCCCGGTGCCTTAGCGAACTGACTGTCGGAACTGGTTCTTATCGTACAACTGATTATCCAAGATACTTTTTGGCCTGCCCGCCACTCTCATGGCGGAGTCTTTCTCACTCATATCAGGTCCCATGCGATACTGCCCAGATGGGCCATCTTTAGAACGTCGAAGTACAGGCGGCACTTCTCATCAGAATCAGCTTCGTGGAGTGCAGCGTCCATGAGCGTCGTCCAGGCACTGATAAGGATGTCTTTGTTGCGACGGAGAAAGCATGTAACCTAACCATTGGTCAGTTCTTCGGGAACGATTGGAAGTGCAAGATGAGGGCGGACTTGTGGTGGAGAGAGAATAGAGGTTTGCACAGACGCGGTGCCTGAACAGGATCAGGTCAAACCGCTAGATAGGCAAGCGAGCCGTCTACGGTTTATGACCATCAATCTCCAATCATACCAGATTTGAATAGCCTAAAGTAACAAGAAAGTGGACATCAGATACAATTTTCAGTGGAGTCGTTTCGTATATCAATGGTGAAGTTTGTCAGCCATCGAGTTTGTAATCAGGCCGAAGTTCGACCGATCACCTTGATAGTTGAGCTGTACAGAGAGGAAATAAATGCTTAAATACGTAGCATTCAGGTACAAGCTTCTTCTCAAAGCTTAGCTAATTCACCCAATTCTGTCTTCATTCCTCTACAATCTCCATTCAAACCCCAGCATTTGCACCCGTCTTCACAGCTCAAACCACCACTATATCTACGGCACCATGTCCGCCCTTCTCGCCAACAAACCCCTCCTTGGCCCACTCGTCGGGCTCAACATCTGGACCTTTGCCATGGAAGCTCTTCTCTACAAACGCAGAATTCCAGCCCTCTCCCAATACGACATCAGCTTCGACCCGGCAACCGTCAAGAAGCAAAAAGACGAAAAGCTACCGGCCTTCGTCAAGTGGCCTGCGGACAACTTCAACAACTTACTCGAACAACCCACTCAGTTCTACGCCATATTGCTGGGACTGAGCCTTTTGGATGTAAAAGAGAAGAGGACCGTTGCTTTGGCGTGGGCTTATGTCGGCTTGAGATTCGTACACAGCATTATTCATGTTTCGACGAACAACGTCTCCCTGCGCTTTCCAGTCTTTGCTGCGAGTTCGGTTGCGCTTCTGGGACTCACGGCCGAGGGGGCATGGAAGCTGATCTTCTAGGAGATTTGGCCGTGGTGGTGATATTCGTGTCGGAAGGAAGATTCAAACAGATGTGGGTATCTGGAACAGGCCTAGCTGGAAGTGAAAAGATTAACTCGACCTTTGGCAATTGTACATCAGAAAAAGCATATTCGAGAAGACTTTAAGCATATTTCCATGAAGCCTGTGACATTTCTTACAGCTTTCACATCGTTAGAGCGAGTTTTATTAGTGTTGCGCAGAGAACGAGATGGTTACTCTTTGCATGTTGCGCCGTACGTCCTATCTCCCGCAGCCTCTGGGATGAGCTGTCACTTGATCTTTACGCCTGTTGACAAGCTGGGTACGACCAGACAGACGATGATGGCTATCGGGTATGTCTTATGGATGGCTTAGCGAGGAGTTGCCTACCCTCTGTGTAGTGAGACAGCTCTTATTGAACCGATTTTTCTCCCCTTATCCATTGCGTAGCGGGCTATCGTAGTATTCGTCCTTGGTGGAAGTGCACCGCATGCAGCTTTGTATGTCTTGCGTTTGCATCTCCCTATGACCTTCTCGTCCCACATCTTTCTATTCCATCTTGTCTCTTCGAACTCAAGCCCTCTTCTCCGCTTCGTTCCCCTGCCATGCCAGATTCCATCTCCTCTTCAGCACATCTATGCTCTCCTGTGAGGTCCGGCCCTTCTCTTTCTCCTCGCGATTTATCCGTGTGAAGGCAGCGGCGAGACCGATAGATATGGCGAAAAGAGGGTCGAGACTTCTGCGCGACTTGTTAGTCTCCAAGTCCAAGGTCGACGAGAGGGGAAGGCGCACTTTGATATGATGTACTGGGCCGCCATAACTGCGGGGTCTCAGAATAGTCTTCCGGAAGTGATTCGATTGCGAATGAGTGGTGGGGTGTTTAGGCAACTACGATGGTTCTGCAGGTGCAAGTCGACAAGGGCAAAGGTTCACGTCGGTGTCTCGATCAACTTCTCTCAGATCGCGTCCACAAAGATCCACTGCACCTGCATTTGCTGTGGTCCGTGCCTGCCGCCGGCTGGAGCTTCCCCACGCTCGCGGTCGCGCCATGCGGACTACTTGGGCAAGCACGCGTCAAAAGCCGCTTGGAAAGCATGTCATTGTTTCAGAAGGTGCTAGAACAGTTCACGTCGCTTTGATTGTCCATGTTGTGCATCCAGTCTGCATGCAGCTGGTTGTATGGAGGCGGTTAGGCGTCTGGTGAGGCGGGTGATGGCGTCATGGGTTTCAGCCCGGAGGAGCCGCAAGTCACGCTGCCTTGTCAGGTACAGATAGCGCTTCACGGGATACATGCGAGACGTCACAGATGGGGTCATGTGAAGACAGTCGTCTTGGATTAAGTCTGGTGCATTTGGGCTGAAATGTGATGATCAAGCTACAGGTACAGCGCAAAAGAGAAAGCCAATCTGTCCGACCGCCACTCGTCATGTCCGTGGAGCTCCATCTCCAGCGGAATGCATTCTTGCTGTATTGTGCTTGATCCGCCTCATTCTCAGATGATGTTTGCCTAGTGCTGAGTGCCGAGGAGTCTGCCGTCGCACCAAATCGCTGATCAAGAATACCGATCCATCACCCAGCCCGTGTAGTGTTGCCATGAAATAATGAAGAAACCCGTGAACCGATAACGCCTGTGAGTTCGCCGCGGCCTTGATAACCGATAGATAAGGGGATGCGGGATGGAGTGAGCTCCCTAGATAGCCTCGCCGAATGTGTTCTCGCCGGAGTACCTAAAAGGTTGTTAGCAGCTGCATCGCGTTGCGCGGCGAAGGGATTACGTACGTAATGTACAGGAAGCCATCCTCATCCTTGTGCTCCTCATATATCGAGCTCATGAGCGCGGCGGTAGGCGGCAGAACTTCATCAACGAAGATGAAGATGGCCTTCTCAGGTGACAGCTTGATGCGCTTACGGATCACGTAGACGAACTGTCCGACGGTCAGGTCGGCGGGTACCAGGTACTTCTTCTTGTCGATGGTCGCGATGTCCGACTTCTCGACCTTCTCGCAGATGACCTGTGCCTTGTTAGCTGCTGTGGTAGTGAGGGAGATGAACAGGCAGGAGGCAAACGTACGGGAATGCGGTCGTTGTACTTCTGGCGAATGCGCTCCGCCTCGGCCTTGCGCTTCTCGAACGGGTGCTCGTCCTTGAACTTGGAACGCATCTTGGATATGTGTAAGAGTGATGGGTAGTGTATGTGAGTGTGTTGAGTGAGCAGGCGGGAGTTTTGTCAGTGGTGCGGGTGGAGATGTAGGACGCTGAGGGTGCGGGCGGTGTGGGAGTTTAAGGGCAGGCAGCAGAGCGGGGCGAATCACTTCCAGCCTTACCTAACCAACGCCCAAGTCAGTCACCATCCATGCACATGCCCTATGCAACAGACGACCAACGCTTCACGCGCCAGCCAAGTGCTCTCTGGAAATCAGGGACAGTGCAATCAGCCCTCTTTCGTCATGCGAATGCAGCCCTTTTCACCCGTGAAGAGCGACTTGGTCCTCGTCTATGGCTGTGCTGACCGCTTCGCCCACCAAGTCACTTGCTAAGCTCCCATGACCTGGGTCTCCCGGACGCATTCAAGGTTGAGTCATCCATCGACTTGAGCACCGCCACTGTAGCCATGCGCCGTGACGCTGTCTTGAACTTGACGTAGGCTGCATCATTCCATCGTTCGAAGTCGACGCGTTGGACACGCGCGTTGGCAGGCATGTAGCGCGTCCGACCACCTTACCGCTCATAGCAACGTAGCTATCTCTTCAGACGCCTTCTATGACCGCGCGAACGAGTACTTCCCATGCACCGTGAGATGCCCGTCATGATACTGGGTAGCAGTGCGCACCCTACCTAGCGAGTACCGCCAACGAACCCTCGCTACCGCATGCTGCGCGTCTACAGATAGGTGCACGGGTGTCTCTAAGCACTCAACCCGTCAAGAGCCGAAACTAATACAACTCAAAGTAAGCGCTTTCGCGCGTCCTCACTTTCGTTGTCTGTAATGGCAAGTTTGCCGCATTTGCATGATGCAGGTACCGATACCGCTAGTAGGAGTACCGAGGAGCTCCACTGATGATGCGCCCACCGTGGTGTGATGCACGACAACTTTCCAAACCACAGACTTTCTCCCACAGACTTGACATAAATCAATTCGCGACTATCACACACCTCCAATGATTTCCACGCGGTGAACGTCTTCTCAAGATTCCACACGCCCGCCATGCGTCCATTCCGATCTTCACTCCGCATCTCAAGAGCTCTCGAGCTTCCCCACAGCCATGCGCCGCAACCAACACTACGGCCGTATCACATCTGCAATAGACAATTACACGCTTCACCAAGACGCCGCCTAGACCTACCCTCAGGCAAGAAACCGGAGAAGCCGGATCCTTTGGAAGAATGGCGTAATCCTCCACCGAGCAAATGGCCGAACAGGATACGGTTGCTATTTGTACCCTTCATTGGGGCCTTGGTCTACTCCATGGTACACAGAGACCCTGAATATTTCTTTGAACCTTATTGACCATGTCACAGTGGACGGACGATACGATCAAGACCGAAGCACCCACCATCGCCGAGAAGGATGCCCTGCTTAAGCGTGAGAATGGCGTCTCGGAGCAATCACCCATGCGCCTCCGAATGGAGCAGTTCATAAAGCAAAACCAGAAGGAAATCGTGGCTGAGCTGGAAAAGGTCGACGGCACCAAGTTCAAGATCGACACATGGCAGCGACCAGAAGGCGGTGGTGGCATCACTTGTATCCTGCAAGACGGCAACGTGTTCGAGAAGGGAGGCGTGAACACCTCAGTCGTATACGGGCGCTTGCCTAAAGCCGCCATACAAAAGATGCGCGCCAACCACAAAGCTCTCGACCCCAACGTCGATTCGCTCGAGTTCTTCGCCGCAGGCCTATCCATGGTCCTTCACCCCCACAACCCCAACGCACCGACCGTGCACCTCAACTATCGTTACTTCGAGACCGCCGACGAGCTGGGAAACACAAACGCATGGTGGTACGGCGGTGGCTGCGATCTCACACCCTCTTACCTTTACGATGAAGATGCGATACACTTCCACGGCGCTATCAAGCAAGCCTGCGATAAGCACGACAAAGCATACTACCCGCGATTCAAGAAGTGGTGCGACGAGTACTTTAGCAACAAGCACCGGGGCGAGACACGAGGTGTAGGCGGCATCTTCTTTGACGACCTCGACGAGACGGAGAAGGATCAGGAACAACTATTCTCCTTCATACAAGACTGCTTGTCTGCTTTCCTGCCTTCCTACCTGCCCATCATCAACAGGCGGAAGGATATGCCCTACACGGACGAGATGAAGCAGTGGCAGCAGATCCGTAGAGGACGCTATGTCGAGTTCAACCTTGTGCACGACCGTGGAACGGCTTTTGGTCTGAATACACCTGGTGCTCGGGTCGAAAGTATTCTCATGAGTTTGCCTCTTACGGCAAGGTGGCAGTATATGCATGAACCTGCAAAGGGTAGCAGGGAGGAACGGTTAATCGAAGTCCTCAAGAGTCCGAAGGAGTGGGTGTAGAAAGTTGGGACGCGAACTTGTACATAGATGTATCATGACGGAATATACGAGTCGAAGTAGGAGACATCCATGTATTGAAATATGTGATTGCTACCATTGATTACCATCCATGGAGATTACGTAGAAGCCCAAATATTATATGGCTGAGTCAAAACGCCACGCTATGCTGCAAAAGCCCACCATCGTTGCCTTCTCTGAAAATTGGCCAAGAATCAACGGCTCAAAGTAGACACTGATGCCTAATAAGCCCTAACCTTCTTTCCCTCCCCATTAACACCAAGATCTGCCTTCCTCTTTCCAAGTACTGAGTCAGGCGTGCCTGGCGCCTCAATACCAACACCCTTACCATAAACCTCCTCAAAACAAGTAGCATGGTATATCTTACCACCCACGCTTACGGCATCCATCCACACAAAGTCGTTGGCCTCCACATTCCACTGCGTCTCGAATTTGTCCTGGCAGATGGGGCACGGTGCCTGCTGTAGTGTGACGTCTTGTGGTACGCTCACGTAGCGATCTTTGGCCTGTTTCTTCGGTTTAGCACCACCTGTACCAGAGGAACCGTCGTTGGACTGGTTGGGGGCTGTCTCGTCGACTTCGCGGTACTCGATCCACTCCTTTTCGGGAATGTACCAGCTGCGGTGTACACCTCGCTTGGCGGCATCTGGATCCTTGACTTTGAAATGCCAGTCCATATGGCGTGCTTTCTTCTCTTTGCCTTCGGGTGTGCTCTCAAAGCGACGGCCACATGTGGCGCAGATGTTGGGCTTGGCTTCGTAAAGGCGGGAGATGAGGTGAAGACGAGGTTTCTTCATTGATGCCGTGGTGAGTTCGATCTGTTCCATCAAACTACCCGGCGCAAGTGGCTGTTGTGTGGCCGGCTGGGATTGAATTGGCGCTGGTTTTGCAGATATACCACCAGGTACACCACCCAGAGCTTTCAAAAGCCACTCGGCGGATCCAAGGGCTGGAGCCGCAGCAACAGGTTGTTGTGGTAACTGAGGAACGGGAGTGCTCTGCACAGGCGTGGGTGGCATTGAGGGCGGCACGGCACCGGGTTTGCTGAACTGCGCAAGCAGAGCAGCGAGATTGGCAGTGGGTGTCGCGGACTGGGTCGGCGGAGGAGCCTGAGGTGCCGGTACCGGAGTCGAGACTGGGGGCGGGAAGCCTTGGAATGGCATCTGAAACGGGGCTGGGGCAGGTACTGAGTTCGGCTGTGCTGGGGAAGACACACGTTTGAGTAGCTCTGCCAAGTTCAAGGCCGGTGGATTCGGGGTTGGTGCGGGTTGCGGAGTCGATTGTGGTGGTGGTCGGAAGCCTGCCAGAAGTTGCGCGACATTCGGCGGAGCGCTGCTCGGAGGTGCACCCATCGGAGAGAAGTTAGGTGGATAGCCTTGGGGCATTGCCTGTTGTGGTGGGTACACTGGCGTAGAAGGAGCAAAGGTCGGTGTTGGTGCTGGTGGAGGTGCTAATGCTCGGACCTGTTGACGTACGGCCTCTAGTTGTTGAGGAGGCAACGTCTGTGTGTCCAGGATCTGCTTGAGGGACAAGAGTGCCGACAACTTTGTACGTAGAGCAGCGTCAGCTGGGTTATGCGCGAACATGTTCTGTGTTGTGCTGATAAGCTGTGTCAATTCCACCTTCAAGTCGGCAAGATCAACAGACGACATGGGCTGAGGTTGCTGGTATACAGGTGGTGTGGATGCGTGTGATGGTGGATATTGAGGTGTCGGGGGTTGTGACTGGAAGGTTTGTTAGCAAGATTGTCTGAAGATCGTATTGAAAACCTACCGGTCGAGCACGCGGATCATTGGGAGCGGCATAACGTGGTCCAGTTTGCGGTGGCGTGGATGTACCCCTCCAGGCGACATTGAGTGACGGAGGACGAGGGGGAAGCGCGTGTTGCGGCCGAATCTGTTGCTGAGCTGCGCGGAATTTAGCCAGTGCATTCTCGATGTCCTGTGTCACGTCGGCTTGAAACACAGGGCGAGGGTCCATCGACTCGGGCACGGGCATCTTCCACGTCCTCAGCAAGCCTTCCATGTTCTTGCGTGTGTTTTGATCCATCACGAGATAGGCGTCCATGAAGGTTCTGTAAAGGTTGCGACCAATGTAGACGGTGTATGGCGTGCCAACATTCTTAACAATCGAATCAAGGACGTAGAGGGCTGGAAGCTTCCATTCGGGGCGAGTCTATGCCATGTCAGTCACCGGTGGATAAAGTAAGTTTGAACTGAATGATAGAGTTGTTAGTCTACACGGTTCCAGGACGTACCGATTGGATATGCTTCTGAAGCTCATTGGATATGGCTTCCGCATACTCTGTGTTTTCTTTGGCGATGAGGGTTAGATTGCTAATCTCAGGTCTGCTGTTCATCCTCAAATCTTGCAGGGCATCCCGAAAGTCGGCAGCCACTTCAGCAGCTGACACAGACATGATGGGCAAGAATATCTGGGGTTAGACAAGAGGGGATGTGTGCTGTGTTAGAAGACGTGAAACTTGCGCGCAAAGGGCAGGGTGAGCGGCTGACTCTGCGGTCGGGGAGTCGCAACGCTGACGATGTCGATGCCAGATGAACAAGATAGACGATATGCTTCCTCGCTCTCGACGAACACACGTAA